CATTTTTTGTAGAAACATGTATAAGTTATTATAATTAGGCTAAATTTTTCATTTTTAAATCTGCTTATTATTCTTTTGTTTTATTTTTAGGTTTCCACATCAAAGTCAAAGTGGAATAAATTCGTCCATTTTGAACTTTCGCGTGCCCAGCATTTATGAACGACTCTTATTCTAATTTAAATAAATATATTTGTGTTATGTTAATAAGTTTTGTTATCATACATTTAGTACGTTTTTTTATATTTGACATAGATACCTTTTAAAATATTTGGATAAAAATATCATTATAATGTAATTGTGATATAATATTATGTAATATTATATTAAATAAGCACATATAATATACAAAATAAATGACAAAATTTAAATATTGTTCTCGGTATAATTTACCTATTTAACAATACAATCTACTATTACCTACGCTTAATTCTACCTATGTTTATTCTATGATAAAAAACAACCGCGCGAACACAGAGTAGTGCACATTTTTTGTTTGAGATAGCTGTTCTAGTACGTATGTACATATTACTTCAATGGCACAGAATTAACATTTTCAGTTTCTTCCGATATAATAATTATGTATATATTTGTATCTATTTTTAAAATAGCAATCTAAACCAACGTGAAGGAAAGAAAAAACGATCTTTTTCTCACTTTATTTTGACTTGCCCAACCGACACATAGACCAAATTATGATTGTGTGCAGATTTCTCAGCTTTCATATAAAGTTGCATCACCCTGCACAGAACACTAATATACCCTTAGGTCGGCCTCACACATACGGAACGTACGGTAATTTACGGAATCCCATTTTGCTCGCAAAATTTCGAACGGAAAACTACCGTAGGTGTGTGACAGGTCCTTGATATGATATGGGGTTGCTGCGTTCGGAATCCCAAACCGAATTCTGTTTCGAAAAGCCATTTCGGAATGTTGATTCAGGATTCCGAACGCAGCAAGTCCATATAAAATCAAGGACCCGTCACAAACATAGAGTAGTTTTCCGTTTTAAATTTTCTCCGATTAGAAATTCCGCATGACTGCCTGTGTGTTCGGAATCCCGCACGAAAAAAAGCGTTCCGAACGCAAGTGTTCCATAGATTTTGTATGAGTCGCAACACACATTCGTAAATTCCGTACGGAACGCGGTTACCGTTCAGCTCAGTATACGTCGTGCGTCGCACAACCCAAGCGAGTAGGTGGGTTCATGTATGTTTATAAATATAGTTATCTTATATGTGTATCTTTTTCGTAATCTTTCATCTCATATTATTTAATAATTCGTCGAAAAAGTTTACAGACATCCATAATTTAAAAATTCCCTGGACAGATATATCCTTTACATAATATAGTCAATATTGCAATCTTAGGGTGATAAGGGGATGCACCACAGATTACCTCCTAATAGATACCGCATCATGGAATATTTGTTCTGTTTCGATTTCACCAAATTTCGGGTTGCGGGGGACGCGTCAAATGTGCTGTGATTGGATTATTCAAGGTTGAACTTAGAATGCTCCGAACCATAGTGATGGGACAGGGTTGGGACGTTGATCGATAAATTTGGGATTTATTGATTATTGATAAATAAATGAATTGATAAACTTTTATTCGAAATTTATTAAAAAATAAAACAGTGTATATAAATAAACGAATATATATATATTCTTAATTTTTTATTTCTTAAATTTACGCGAACACTACACATTGAATACAACTGTATAATTATAAGGATTTTATCGCGTTTAATTAATTTATGGTCACGGGGGGAGGGGGGACTTAAATGTTTGACATCTCAATATCATAGTTAGTCCGGCTATCTTCACTTTTTGAATATTGATTTTTGGTCCCGATCTACATAAAACGAGCTTACAGTATCTTGGAGTCTTGCAGTGGTATGCTTGGTTTTGGATAGATTTTGTTAATTATAGGATACCAAGCAGATGGCAGCACCCATCCACCGACTGTGGCCGGCTTCACTCGGTCGCTGTGACGTAGGCTTGGGACCCAAAGCTTGTTGTCTTGCAATAATTGATTGACATGCTGAAGCTCGGCAGCCAGATGTATTCTGTCACAGATCCCTTGTGCTCTCTGTAAACAAATATTTACCCACAGTAGAAAACTATGAAGAATGATGGTGAGATTCACCATTTAAATATCGGTTGGTATAGGCCTTTTTCCTATACATAGTATGACCAATAGTGTTATCAGGATTTCGGATGACTAAAACATCTAGGAAAGATAAAGTATTATTTGCTTCTAACTCCATCGTGATTTGTATTTTGTAGTTTATGGAGTTAAGGTGGTCTAAAACTGCAGTTGCTTTGTCAGACGGTAAAATTTTGAAAGTGTCGTCTACGTACCGCTTGTAGAATCTTGGATTTATAGAAGCAGTGAGAAGGGTTTCTCCTCAAAGTCCTCCATGATATATGTCGGCGACTATAGGAAATACAGGTGAGCCCATCGCTACACCATCAACTTGCTTGTAGAACTCTTCCTTCTACAATAGATAGTCAGATGTGAAGCAGTGTTTGAGTAATACTGCATATTCTGCAAGCATGTTGTTATCTTGTAGCTTCCTAGTTACAATTGAGAAGCAGTCTTCAATAAGTACGCATCTGAATAGTGACTGACCACCAAAACTGACCATAGTTTCATTGTCAGCGAGATGTATGTCTTTTATCTCACTAACAAAATGGTGTGAATCCTTTGTTCTGATATGTCCTTTCGGTGGTGACAGTATTTTTGCTTAGTGTTGCACCTAAAAGTAGTATTATTAATTAAAAAACCATACGGTACTTGGTTTCACATTTAGATGTACTTAATAATAATAATAATAGGATATTACTGAAGTTCATGCAACACTAGAATAACATTAATCACATTATAACTTTCACATGTTTTATGTTTTATAAATCCGTTAAAAATAGTTTAATTTCGACGTGTAGCATTCAATTCACAGTAACAGTAAATTCATTAAATATTAGAATATCACGTTTCAATCAACCACTTAATGCTATTACTTATTGTGTAATTTTCACCATTGGTATTATACTTTTAAAAAAATGTAAAATTCCATACTAAAACTGGCAAGTATAGAGATAGTATAGCGGAATCCAACAGCCTTATACGGTTTTTCATAATATGAAGATTGTCTCCTGTGAAGTGTCTTGAGCATAGCACACTATTTTTGATGGGTAACCATTGATCCCCTCGACATGTAGCGTCGATCCACATCTTTTCCTTTCGGGGCATTTAGGAAACCTATAACATATAGGTACCACAATTATACACCACTATTTGTATAAAATAATGACTACAAAAGAAAAGTAAACGATGACCAAACAAATATCGACTTATAAATCACAACACTATCGATACACGTGCTGTCGTTAGACAAAGACAACTATTTTAATTTACGTAATGAGTGAAAGGGACATATTAAAAAAGACATCAACGGGTGCTCAAATGATATCACTTTGCAACATTTAATATCCAGTGTAAGTTGAACTCCGGTCCATTTGAAATAGGTTAACGTGATAAGAATAAAATTTACTTACCGATGAAATATTATGCCATCTTTTTGATAACTGGATGTCTTAGCTGACTTGCCACACCATTTCACTGCATAGGAAGCCATTTGTAATGTATTTTGGATACCAAAATTATTTTTAAATTTTCAAAAACTCGGACGTGCCTACGGGTCACAAGCTTGGTCGACAATGATATCGTGATTCTTAGCGTCACTTCATATGCTAGCTACAGCAAGTATGTGTTGCGCGCGTTTGTGGCCCTGTATGCGGAATCTATTAGGAGGTAATCTGTGGGATGCACCCAGTAACAATGATACAGCAACAATGGAATCGCAATCAGAAAATCTTCCTCATTATTCGCTGACAGAATGTATTGACTTAATGGCTAGCGTCTCTCAACTGAGCCTTGTTATTCGAAGGGAAATAAACATACGTTTAGCGTGTGTATGATGTATTTACGTAATCCCTAACCGGAATTCTGAAACGAAATTCCGATCCGAACGTATGTGGCCGGCCTTAGGCGGGAGTAGATATCAATCTAGGAGCAATGGGTGCGTTTGGCAGAAAAAAGCGCTAGCAAGCGCTTATAAGCGCTAAAATAGTTTTCGGCCAGGACACGATTGCTACTTCAGTAGCGCTGACACAATCCGCCATTTTGCTTATTTAATTTATTTGTTTTGAAGTAGAGTTTATAATTTGTTTTGTGCAATATTAGTTTTAAGTAATATAATGTTATGAATAGACATATACATGTTATTAAAAATTCATGATTGGTAAGTTTTTAATATGAATACTTTACAAACATATATTTAAATTAGGTTAGGTTCTCCGGTTAAAACTAACATCGTGTCCTGGAGGAAAATAGCTACTTACGATTTGACAGCGCTTACCGCTTACGATCGCCATTTTGCTTACAAGCGCTTGCTAGCGCTTTTTTCTGCCAAACGCACCCAATATTGTTCTGATGTTCTGTGATATCAATTATCAACAACAGCTCAACACAACAGTAATTCTAATAATCTTTAATTATAATTTAAAAGTTTTAAACGCAGTGATTTTATAATCTTTGATAATGATAATCTATGCTGATAATAGTAGTTGATGTCACAGAGTACTTTTTATAAACTGGAATGATGTGTATCGAAAGCAATAATGATTTCATGAAGATCCAAGACGGCCAGGTTAAATGTATTCTGTGCATAGATAAATAAATATGTAGTTCTGTGATTCATACTCATACGAACATGAAATACTTGACGGTGTCAGAACTCATTGGAAGTTGTCAAATTAGGAAAAAAAGAAAGTAAATATTTGTATGCACCTTACCTACGTAGTACTAGGGTACATGGTGCAAATAGAATAATAACTGTACGATATATTACTTTCCTCTATGATAATAACTATCCTAACATAATGTTTAAGTACAAGGTCGAAGAAGTAATAATTTGATGTAATTTCATCATCAAGCACAACTCAGCCTCATTTTAGGTTTTAGTTGCTCTTACAGTTTTTTTTTTTTCAGTTACGTTACTAATTAATTTACTATACCACTAATATATATCCAAACTTACTCTTTTCAGCAAGGCCAGCCGAAATGACTATACTGAGTAAAGTTATTGATTTCAAGCAGATGCAGAATATTACAACAGATTTTAATAGATTAGGAGGTATGAGTTGTTTCAACATTATCATAACTTTTATATAATGTATGAATTAAAGATTTTTATTTTAATGAACCTCCAACTACTACTGTGATAAAAATTCCTTTTGAAGTAAGTTTTTATATAGTTTGTTATAAATAGGAAATGATAATATCTTTTATAAGACAGTAAACAAAAATGTTAAATTTCTTCCAATACAACTTTCTAATGTAAATAATGTTTGTTTTAAAATTTTCAGTGTTAAAAATGTTATACTTACTGTACTAAATTATGTAATATCTTATTTATTAATATTTAAAATGGGCAATTCCTGTTTAAAAGTAAATATCAGGTTTCAGAGAAATGAGTCAATGATTTAGATAATTTTTTATTTTCAAACTTTATATTGTCCATTATATCTGCAGTTCATCCATCAAGTTGTTGCATCTCTTACCAGGTTGTCATTTGGCTTTCTTCCCCAACAACAAACATCTAGAATTTTTTTTACAGCAGACCCCCAGTAATCCGACCCCTGGCTAATCCGTTCCCCCTTGTAATCCCATATGTCTAACTTGTAGGTAGATTCAAGTCGCGCTATGAATCTGCCAGGAGGGATGTATCCTTCGTGAATACTTACCACAAACTGAAACTGAAAACAAATAGGTTGCATTTAGTTTGCGCCACCACCAATCTAGTTTGACGCGTATTGTCTCAATTCAAATGTAACTATGGTAGCAGCCTAGCGGGCTTTCATTATTTACTGTTTAGGTATTCATTGTGCATCAATGACATTTTTTTATATATTTGATATGTAATCTGTCAGATTACAAGGTATTCTTTTTCAAAAAGTTGCAGACTACCACGGGATTGTGGCAGTACTTTATAGTCCACAAATTTGATAATCCAACACCGCCTAGCAAAATGTTAGTCAGATTACCGTGGGTCTGCTGTATAATATTTTTCCTTGTTAGTTAATTCATTATATCATTTTATTTAATTTATAGTCTATGACTCTTTGATATCTCTATATATGAAAATCAATTGCTGTCCGTTAGTCTCATGAAAACTCGAAAATAACTTTACTGATTTTAATGCTTTTTATGTGTGTCTTTATTTGATTGGGTCTCTGGATGGTTGATTAACTCAATTGGACCTGATAGATGGCGCTGTTGTTGAGATGCAGAAATCACCCATTTAAATCCAGGGTGGATCGCTGGTCTAAAATAAAGTATAATTAATCATTAGGTTTCCCTGAGATTTCTTTTTCTATGTGTAAGTTGGTCGTCTAGGTACTGTAAATATAATATAAATTACCATTATACAATTTGTATTTGCCATAGTTGCCTTGCTTGGCGGGTAAGTCATTACAATTTTTTAATTTTTGATTTTTATTATGAAGATGCTGCTACCCATTACTTGGTTTATTTCCTCAGTCGCCTCTTATGACACTAGTGGGACGATATAGAGTAGTGGATATTCTTACACTACTACTACATAGTTTCATTATAACTAATCATTAGTAATAAATAAGTTTTTAGTAAAGGATTAAATTGTACATAAGAGGAATCTCACCATATTTTACCAAGTACAACATCGCTTGCTTGCACTTGCTTGCTAACAAAGCATAATGACAATCAAGCCAAAATGGCCCATACTTTGAGGCAGTGATTTACTACAATTCCACCTAAATATAACTGTATATGGTAAAGCACACTAGCTAAGATTAACGAGATTCTATGATTTTGTTTTACACAGATCGAACCAAAAATTACTACATTCCAAAACTGATGGTAGCCGGGCTAAATGTGGGATAGGGATGTCAATCACCTCAATCCTTCCCCCCCCTGACCATGTTAGCTTCATTTAACAGATTCTATTAACTTAATCTTTGAAAGCAACCATGCCATAATCAGAGATAAAGACACAAGTTATCTATTCCTTGACCATACAAATTATGAATGATGAAGCAAACAGAGCTGCATTCTTGGCAAATCCTTCTTGCTCTGGAAGGCCCTTGTCCAGCAGTAGTTTGTTACGGGCTGTTAAAAAGGAAGATTATTATATTTTTAATTTAATAAAAAAGTTAGACTAGTTATATCTTAAATAAGTCAATTACCTCAATTTTTTTTTCAGACAGGTGTTATCTAGATCATGCAGGTGCTGCATTGTATCCACAATCACTGCTCCAACATGTTCATGATGATTTACTCAATAATGTTTATATGAATCCACATACTGATAGATACACCAAAGATTGTATTGAGCAAATCAGATGTTTGGTCTTAAACCATTTTCATACAGATCCATCTAAATATTCTGTAGTATTTACCTCGGGAGCAACACAATCATTAAAACTTACTGTGGAAGCATTTGATTTTGCATCAAACACAAACGATGGATTAGACTGTGGATCATTTGTTTATCTCAATGAAAACCACACATCAGTACTTGGTTTAAGAGAAATAGCAGGGGATAAGAATGTAGATATTATAAATATATCTCATGAGAATTTTCTCAAATCTATTAAACATACAGAGACTACTACAAAACCTACAGTTAAAGATAAAACTGATGGCAATATCCTTCTTGCATATCCAGCTTTAAGCAACTTCAACGGTTTTAAGTATCCTATAGATTGTATACAAAATATAAAAAATGGGTGTTTGAACAGATATTTGATGAAACATTTATGCAAAGTAAATTGTAATTGGTATGTTTTACTTGATGCAGCATCTTTTGTACCGTCAAATAATTTAGACTTGTCCCAGACGCAACCAGATTTTGTATGTCTGTCATTTTACAAAATTTTTGGGTACCCTACTGGATTGGGTGCACTTTTAATTAAAAACGCGAGCGGAGATGTTTTATGTAGAAAACGATATTTTGGTGGTGGAACTGTCGATATTGTATTGAGTAACGAGAACTTTCACGTGAAACGAAAAATTCTCCATGAAAGGTATTTTTTCAAATAATACTTTTTTAAGCTTTCTTTTATTGCCATCTTTTTTATTTTAAAATCACTTAGTAGTGTATCTTATTTTCCAGATTAGAAGATGGATCTCTTCCATTTTTATCAATATTAGCATTAAAACATTGCTTTGACACATTACATAGGTTAATTCCTAAAACAATTAACAATGATATCATGGACACTATAGCTTATCATACATATAATTTAGCTAAAGATTTATATAATCAGTTAAAAGAACTTCATCATCCAAATGGAAACAAAGCCGCTATCCTCTACATGGATTCAGATTTTTTAGATATAAAAACACAGGGTGGGATTGTCACATTTAATCTTCTAAGAGATGATGGATCATACATTGGTTATATGGAGGTAATTACATAAATATGTGTAAACGTAACTTCTGTTCATTACAGTCTATCAAAATCTACTACTAAACATCTGTGCGGGCACAGACATGCCCGAACGTGAATGTTAAATGCGGGCTGTCTGTTCGCAGATGCAAGTGGCAGCAACCTGTGCAGACGGCCTTTTATTATTATTTAACGAACTTTAGAGATTTTTAATATGCAATGAGTTTTATTCTGGGATGAGTTTATATGACACTATATTCATGCGCAAGTAATTGTACAGGTTCATAAATTTCCAATTCTTTATGTAAATTGATATGACTAAACTTATTTCTATTTTTATACCATTCTGTGCATTAATTTAATAATAAACAAATAGTAAAACATTGCAACGCAAAATACGCGCTAAGACATGGAGTTGCAGAAAACAGGCCGTCGTAAACTAAACTAACTATAGTTCATAAAAGATAGCTTTGAATTCTACGACAGCTGTCTTTTTTTTTTTTTGTTTTTTTTAGTAGACATCAAGCTATCTTTTGTGAATAATAAACTAAACATTGCAAGTCTAGGTTGTCATCATAAGCGCACGCCGTAGACAGAGAAACCTATAGACTAATGATTAGCGTGGCCTCGAATGAGAAAGGACGATAACGTAGTTTTAGGTTATACAATAATCTTTTTGACTTTTAAACATATTTAGATAAAATTGTTAATTGTTCAAAGAACTAAACTGAACAAGATTCACCAATCTTAAGCTCACAAAACACTTTTTTCTCACTTAAACCAACTTATAAACTCCTTAGATCGCTACGAACTGTCAAAGTTGTTTAGCAAAGTGCAGTTTGCTAAACAAAAAAACCGGCACCGAGAAAGGGACAAACGCTCACACGGCTCTGTCTCATTTCTATGCAAGACGTATGCATAAATCTAACTTTTTCGTGTGCGAATGCGAAAGAAGGCGTCAATTTGTCTATAGGTTTCTCTGTCTAGTCTACGACGCACGCACTACTAATCACGTAGCCGTTCTAAAACAAACTGGTGAGTCTGCGTAGTGTATTGCGCGAAAGACATGCCCGGACAAACAGCCCTTGGACATGTCCGTCTAGTGATTTCCCCGCTTTAGCCATTCCAACAGATAGCGTCATACTTAAATAATGGATACTTGCCATAGTTGCCACGCTTGGCAGGAGTGTAAGCAACTGCAATTTTCTATTTATAGTATTTAACATTTTATTTTAATTTTAAAATTGTGTTGCAGTTCCAAAACATGGCAGACTTATTCAACATTAATGTGAGAACAGGTTGTTTCTGTAATTCTGGTTCATGTCAAAGACATCTAAATGTAGCCAACAGAGAATTGAAGGAAATGTACAAAGCTGGTCACACGTGTGGTGATGAAACAGACTTAATCAAGGGAAAACCGACTGGCGCTATTAGAATCTCATTTGGATATTATAACACGTTTAATGACGTGGATAAACTTATTTTAATGATCTGTCGATGTTTCGTACGTACGAACTTCAAGATACCAAAGCGTTTAATGACTTATCCCACACAATTTACAGCCGCCTCCAAATCTATTAATAAATCATACGAAGATGAAATGCTCAACTTATCAAGTGACAGAGTTTACTTAAACACCAATTATCTGTCGTCCGAAGTGACTGATGAGGGGAACAACATTGTTCTAGATGAAATAGCTATATATCCAGTAAAATCGTGTGGAGCCTTCAAAATAAGAACAGCTTGGAAAATAGGATCGAAAGGTTTTGAGTTTGATAGGGAGTGGATGATAGTAAGAGAAAATGGTATATGTCTAACACAAAAGCAAAGTACAGAAATGTGTATGATTCATCCAGAAATTGATCTGAAACACAAACTTTTGACTCTAAATTTTAAAGGTTTGTGTTTTTTTTTTATATTTGTATTGTTGTATGTTTTCAGCATTAAATCTATTTCTTCTTCCGAGTTCTAAATTAAGAAAGACTATTTTTGGATTTGGGGTATAATTAAAAATGAATTAATTACAAAATTACATTTTATGAATGTGATGCCATGGTTATTGATAATGATAAAAATAACTTAATTTTAGGTATGCCTTCAATATCCATATCACTAAATCAAGTTACAGAAAATGTAAACAGTCATGGATCATTGTGCAATAGTAAAGTTTGCATGGATGTAGTAAAAGGCCATGACTGTGGAGATGAAGTTGCAGATTGGGTCTCAAATGCATTAGGAATTTCATATCTAAGATTAATAAGACAATCAAACACTGAAAACAGAATACAGAAGAAAAATATTGAAGGTGATCAGAAATTATTATCATTAAGTAATCAAGCTCAATTTCTATTAATAAATAAAGCCACAGTGAGATGGCTACATAAAAAAATCAAAGATCCGTTGTTCACAGCCAATATTGAAAACTTAACTGACCGTTTTAGAGGAAACTTGATTATTGACATGGAAGACGAATTAGTTGAAAAGGAATGGCAAAGGGTAATAATAGGAAGTCATGAGTTTAAGGTAATTTTCATTTATCAATTAAAATTTATATCCTTCATCCATTCCTAAGTTGTAAAACTAGTGAAGTTCATCATTTATCACCAGTTTTATTAATTTTAATTAAAAGTAATAATTTCAGGTGGAAGGAACTTGTCAAAGGTGTCAAATGGTATGCATTGATCAACAAACAGGAGAGAAAACTGCTGAACCTCTCAGAACTATTTCGGAGCAATTTGCAGGAAAAATGAGATTTGGCATATATTTAAGTTACATAGATCCAGTAAATGGGGCTAAAGATAAGTTATTAAAAGTAAAATCACAAGTCAAACCCGTAATAAATGACGATAACATAAGCAGATGAAAGCACTTGTTATGTAAGGTTCTGTCCTAATCGAATCCTAATTAATCATTCACATTTTTACTGTTATGGAAATATTGTATGTGATATATTGAATTTAAAATAACTTATTATTACATATGTACATTAATAGTAAAACTATGTGTATTTCGTTTATTTCAAAATATACAGAACAAATGTTCCTTTTTATTATAGAAAATCATGTATTCTTAAATTTAAATGATATTTATTTATAATCTCATTCCTGTAAGAATAAATAATATCTGTAAGATATACTATAATAGATTCTCTTAGGGATGGATACTTAAACATTCTCAGTGTTATTACTTTATTATGAATTACATATTTTGTTACTAAATTTAACTGTACTGAGTACCTATTTTTATGTATGATATTAGAAACTAGCGAATAAATAACAAACAGGGATATTTACTAGAAAATATTAATTATAAAACATAATTAAATGTTAAAAAAATTAACCAATTGTTTATTAATAGCACATTTGTGTTATAACTATATACATACTGCCTTTTTGCATATTATAATGGTTAATATTATCATTAAAATCTTTTCTTTTGTAGGCAATACTAATTTAAAATGAGTTATAGGGGAAGAGTCAAGGTAGTAGTTTAGGGGACAGATGTCATTTAATTTTGCAGTTTCACATTATCATATTATTATGTATACAACCACACATATATGATTCATAGAAATATGAGAAAATTGATGGTTAATTTTTACATAAACATACATTACAGGATTCATAATACCTATGGTATTATGAATCCTGTAATAAAGATATTTAGTAGTATGGCACATAACATTAATGTGCGGTACACTGGTTTGTTTTTAAAATCTGTACTTCAGTGAGATGGTAAACTTTTGAGAAGTTATAACTAAATATTAATACCGTATAACAAAATAACCTGTTGTACTAACTTTTAACATTGTGCTTTTTATGTTTGTTTTTTTTTGGTTGATGTTTGGCAAGCACAGTAGCACTTATGTAGGAAACTACTAGTTGGATTTAATAAAAATGTATGGTTTGATATTGCACACTTTATTAAATATTGTTTTTGTTGTGAATGAAAAAATGAAGAACTGTTGTGAAAAATCTAAAATGTATTGTTTACAGAAAAACTTTTGTTAAGAGACTGATTGAAGAGTGAGAAATAAATGTTATGATATTGCACAGTTTATTGGCTGTTGTCCTTTTATTACTCTTGGTTCACCTCCATTAGATACATCTAATACTACATTTACTACTTCTTCATAATCAGGTAATGCCATTGTTTGTAATTTTGAATAAATTAGTTTATCATTTAATAATATTTCAAAAGATCCTGTAGACACACGAATTATATATTTAATATATACATATAAAGAAAATGTTTAATAATAAATTAAATTGGCTAAAAGCCAAAGTATGAAACACTTATGTTAATCAGCTACAACTAGGTGCAAACAATTGAAGTTTGTTAAATTTTTGTATATGTACTACAAAATTTGTCAAAAATATGAAACCCCACACTAGGATTTTCTTGTGTTTTGTGGAGGCAGTTTTACATACATAAATTGACAAGACCAACATTCACAACCGGAACAATTATTTGTAGGCCATACAAATACAGTAGAATTCATATATAACGACTTTGCTTATCCATATTTAACCAATTTTAGCGACGATAATTAGTGCGACTCCGGTTTAAGGGACCAACTGCGTATTGCGACCATTGTTTATGATAATATGAAAGGTTGAAACGACGCGAAATGTTTTGTTTACACAACCTACAAGTACGCACCAATTCCTTGGCACCCCAACTTCATCGCGCACCGCAAGTTTCACCTCAATAAGGAGGCGCGCGTAAATCACAGTGTTTGTCAACTGTTAACAAATTCATAAAGCTCAATAAAATGAGTTCTGTGAAGCGAAAGTGTTTTGCAATTGAAGAAAAAAGTGCAATATTACACCGATTAGAAGCCAGTAAATCAAATGCAACCATCGCAAAGGAGTTTGGCATATCAGATTCTACAATAAAAAAGAGTAAAGATAAGATCGAGACACTGTTTAATGCCAACAATATAAAATGCACATGTGTAAAGACTTTTACTCATGAGCAGGTGGATAAGCCATTGTTACAGTGGTTCAAGCTTCAGCACAACTGGGAAGTACCCGTAATACACAATACTACAAGAGAAAGTAAACTTTTTTGGTAGAAAGTTAGACATGCAAAATTTCACATGTCCCATGAGTTTGATAAACAGTTTTAAATCTACCGAGTCTTTATCAGACAGAGTGATGTAATCAGTTGGTTAGAAAAAGTTTGGCCTACTCTACGTGCGCAATTTAGAGATGATGAAATTTTGAATGCAGATGAGACTGGGCTGGCTTACAAATTAACCTCTGACAAGACATCGAATTTTAAAGGTGTAAAATATACACGAGGATAAATATCCAAGGAGAGAATAACTGTGATGGTGGCAGCCAACATGAGTGGCACAGTTAAAAAAAATCTAGTAATCAGAAAATCTCAACGTCCCAGATGTTTAAAAATGTACCACATTTGCCAGTGGATTATGGGATCGTGAACTTACGAAAAAGCCAAGAAAATCCTGCTGCTAGTTGACAACTGTCCTGCACATCCCCATATTGAAGACTTGAAAAGCGTAACCTTTGTGTTTCTGTCTCCAAACACGACATCAGTGTTGCAACCCATGGATCAAGGGATTATTCAAGCTTTGAAAGCACATTTTCATAAAACATTGTCCTGAAAATGATCCAGTTACGAGATGGCTGCAAAAGTAGTAGTGTTGAGTACCCAAAGATTACTGTTCTTGATGCTATTCTAACGATTCAAGATGCCTGGACCCAACAGCAAGGGACAATTTTTAAGTTTTACAAACATGCTGGTTTTGTCCAAAGTGATGTAGAATGTACCATAACTTTAAATGCAAATTATTTTATAAAGAAGACAACGTACCACTGAGCATTTAGGCGAGGACCATTGATAAGCATCAGTTGCTCATAACAAACAAGGACTTTGAACAATACGCGTGCATCGCTGTCACCACTTGTGAAGAACCATCTGATAAAAACATTGTGGAATATATCATTGCCAGCGATGCAAATAGCAAAGATAGCGACAGTGATGATGACGAACCAGATGAGATTTATCCAATCTTCTGTGTTTCTGAAGCTCTAAAGGCTGCAGAAACGCTCAATGTGTTTGTCCAAGCTTTGATGATGACCTTACAAAAGCAATGATGTCACAAATTCACAATGCTGCATGAAGCTCTTACTACCAAAAAAAAGTTTGTCTAAAACACTCAAATAACAGACTTTCTTTTCTACATTACATATAGACATATTTATATGTATATGTTACATATATACATACAGAGCTTGTAATTTGGTTGTTTAAGAACCAATAAAATAAAGTATATGTGATTCCTATAAAATGTTTTATTTACCTGAATAGGAAAATCAAACTTTCGCATTTATAGTATGTATTTGTAAGTATGTACTTAAGAAATAATTATGCCATATTGTACATCATCCTGTTAATATGTTGTTATATCCGGATTCTACTGTACTTGTTCCATGTGGGATTCGAACCCGAGGCCCTCAGAACCGCAAGTCAAATTGTTAAGCCACTGTGTCACAGAGTTGTCACTGATATATCAGTATCATTGACAGTAAGATAACTAAATAAAATACACCTAAAATTTATTTCAGAAAAAAGAGCTTATTCCTTTCTAAAAGGCCTGCAGTGCACCTGCAATTCCTCTGGAGTTGAATTTGTTCATGGGTGGTGTTAGTCACTAACTTACCATCAGGTGAGCCTTATGCTTGTTTGCCCCCTCTCCTATAAAAGAAATTCATCCCTAAACAGCTACAACAAGTTATATCCAAGCAAACCTCTTTGTATCTGCTACTCGGTGATTCTAAGAGGAAAATGAAGCAGGAGATGAGCAACAGCGTCTTCCTGATAACAACTAAAAACAAAACCAGCTGTTGTCAGCCTGCCTGCTAAAAGGACAACTATAATTCATTATATTTATTTATTACCTATATTACGAATTTACTAACCTTTACGTCCCTTTTTACATATTACACTAGCATTAGTTGTACTTTTTTTAATAGCATTTGCAAGTGCAAGACAGTGACCACCGTAATCACAAGCACCACTGAAAAATGTAATCTAATATTTATAAAAAATAAACGAACACAGTACGTACATTTTCATAATAAAAGAACTAATTACCAATACTCTATTTGGACTTTGATATCATCTTTCATACCGACTGAAACCATTTTCATGAACAGTTAAACATAAAAAGCATCAATTATATAAATATTAATAGTAGTCTCAACACAATTTATGCAAAAGATTTCAATAAGTTACGAAATTGTACTTGTACCAAAATTATTCAGGCACAGGAAGGTATATATATACTCTTATCTACTCTTGGGTATGTTCCGAAATACAACGCAGTGTACTGTCGTATATTAGAAAGTACTCTGTGGTACTGTCCAATGCAAATGACGTCATGAATCGACGCTATGCTGGTAATTCGTTCCAAAACATTGGACAGTATATGACGTCATACTTTTGCGCCATTTGGAAAAGTGTTGGCGATTATTTTGTCATTTTGTGCTCCAAAAATCATTTTATCCTCCTGATGGATATACCAGCAATTATTCTATAATTTTTTGTATTTGAATAAATAGAAACAAATTCTGGCATGCTTCATTCGCCAAACACACAATTAAAAATTGTTTTATTATGTCCGGATATCCGACACAATATGGCGGCGGCACGCTAGTACAATAAAGTGTCAAATGATACGTCATTTGCATTGGACAGTACACTGCGTTGTATTTCGGAACATACCCCTTATCTATGGGCATTGGGCACCTCAGGGCACCTTTATCGTAGACAGAGAATCCTAGCATTCTCTGTCTACGACCTTTATATATTTACTATACTCTTTGGGGCACCTTATCCCATAAGGGCACAGCATGAAGGTTAGAGAACAGGAGAACGATCACTACCCGGTAGTGATATTTGATGAGTGATGCTTTATGTATTTATGTATAGTACGTAGTGACACTACGTAGTACGTACTAAAGCATAGCCCGCCTTGAAATAATACTAGTTTTTACGGAATTTATCGCTTTATTCTTATTATATATTACAACTGCAAGACTTCAAGATACCATAAGTTCATACTGTATAGATCGGAACAAAAGTTAAATTTTAATCTGTGGTAACCGCGGTTAACTATGACATATGGACGTTGAACATCTCAGTCCCGCCCGTGACCTGCTCTTCAAACGTGATTTAAAAAGTTAAATATACGCGATAAATTCCGTAAAAACTAGTATTATTTCAATGTGTAGTGTTCGCGTAAATATAAGAAATCATTACATAGCCCGCCTGTCCTTGAAAATTGTAGAATACATCTGATCGGAAAATAGACTGAAAATGACTTTTATTGACTGCACTTGGTGATCGCAGCGCCTCACTGATGGTGTCCATATTTCTGGGACACTATTTTCTACCGCGATCGTTCTCCTGTTCTCTAACTTTCATGGGGCACAGGTTCTCTGAGATTATTTTTTATTATATAAGATATTTAACTTGGCTGCTTATCGTCTAAGGCCCACCACATACATGCAGAATTTCGTTTCGGAGCTCCGCTTTGTGTATTCAACCAACTGGAGAAGCCATGCGCCTTAATTCCTAAACAAAAAGTCTGTCAATATCAGGGGGTGCAAGAAAAACACACTAATGCATACTTCACTACAAATGCAAAATTGAATCGCGTCACTATACACGCAAACTACAGTATATGTATTTGTATTCATTGCATTTACGCACACCATCAAATTGTACACGTGTCAATACACTGGTGCCGTTTTCTACATTCATAAGCAACGTAAGGATAAACGAAACATCGTAGTCCGCATACGTTCAGCGTTGGTAAAAGTGATTTTTAGTATTTTTTCCTTCATTACCTACAGCCCTTCACAAGTCCGCGGCTGAACATAGGCCTCCCCTAAGGGGTGCCACAAAGCACGGTTCTGATCCACCTGCATCCATCGACTTTCTACAAGTCTTACCAGGTCATCACTCCATCTATTGGAGGGTCGCCCTGCAATTCACCCAACGGTACGAGGCTGCTACTCGAGAACCTTTTCCCCCCATCGGAGGTCACTGCCAATGAAGCCTTTTATGCTATTGCTTTTTATTTCGAGGCGTTTTTTAGTTTAATATTCTTTGCTGTACAGTCTGTTCGCTTAGATACGGTCGTTTTTGTGCCACGCCACCTCATAACGTGCCGCATTTTGTCAAAGGCGCGACAAGTTCGTACTGTAAAGCACCCAAAACGTAGGGAATCAAAAGTCAACGCGATAAAATCCGTAAACATAGTTTCATGTAATGTTCGCGTAAATATAGGAAGTCATAATTGTAAACTTGTCAAAATGGACAATGCGACAAAAAATACTTATTTTTAAGTGTTTTTCCGATAGAGGGATGTAAAAGAAAGGACCCATGTCTTTTGGGTTTTTTAGGCCTGTAGTTAATTAAATATAAATTTTTGAAAAAATAATTTTTTTCGCCGGAAGTGACGTCATCCAGAGGCATTGTAAAATGCGATGCCTGTGCCTACGTTTTTCATGTTTCCGGAAATAAAAAAAGCAAGACTGACGTGACGGCTGACTGAAGTAACCTATAACCACAGAGTACCTTTGTATAAACTGAAACTATAACTAAAGTTGTTCAAAACGACTATAAATCAATAGCACGCTACAGACTATAAACTATAAATTTCTAGCGCGGTATTAAATACGCTATGTTATAGCACGCTATTTATAAGAAAGCGTGTAGGAGGCCGATAAGCGCGTTAAGTTTTACAGTACGTTATATCTCTTAGAACGTTACATTACATGTCGTTCATTGGATAGATCGTGTGCTATATAAGAACATTATTTCGTAATAAGTTGCATTTTAGACTAAAATAAAATAAAGTGGTAAAGAAAAACCAATGTATGCGTTTTCATACTTTTCAGGCTTACTAATTTCTATGATCCTAAAAATATTTTTAAGTTATGTACTATTTAAAATAGAATTAATTTTATTTTTAGAATCGAAATAAAATTAATTATTTTTTATTATAATTGATGTAAACGTTATTTTAATAAATCAAATAAAGGCGTATTAAAAGTTTATTTATTGTATTTATAAAAATCAATTATTTACATACACTATTATATACACTTTTGTATCTATATTTTACACACTAATGTTTTAAATGTAAATACATTTAAAACATTAGTTAGGCTTCTTTTACCACAATTGTGTCCTTTGATCATTTATAAATATATAAAAATATATAGCCTACCTAAACAACGTCGAACATTAAATTAGGTCGCGCGCGATGAATAGCGCGCTACGAGATCAAATTTTCGTCACACATCCTCTTCCAACAGCGCTGCTGCTAGAACTAATTGCCGCTAGATATTAATAATTGATAGCGCCAAATAAAGTTGTTCAAAACGACTATAAATCAATAGCACGCTACAGACTATAAACTAGAAATTTCTAGCGTGCTATTAAATACGCTATGTTATAGCGCGTTATTTATAAAAAAGTGTGTAGGAGGCCGGCAAGCGCGTTAAGTTTAGCAGCACGCTATATCTCGGTGCACGCTACATTACATGTCGTTCATTGGATAGACCGCGTGCTGTATAAGAACATTGTTTCGTAATGAGTCGCATTTTAGATTAAAATAAAATAAAGTGGTAAAGAAAATTAAAGAACGCTCTTTCATGTAGACTTTTTTATTAAAAATATTTTTAAGGACTGTACTTTTTAAAACAATATAAAATTAATCTTTTTGTATGATAATTGATGTAAACGTTATTTTAACCTTATTATAAATTAAATCAAAGGTGTATTTAAAAGTTTATTAATTGTATATACAAAAATTAACAATATTATATACACTTTTGTATCTATATTTTATTTATATTTAAAAACATTAGTTAGGCTTCTTTTGTAGCAGACAACTATGTCCTTCGATCACTTAAAAATATACAGTATACACTAACTAAATAACGTCCAACACTAAATAGTTCGCGCGCGATGAATAGCGTGCTGCTAGATTAAATTTGCGTCACACGTCGAATAGCGCTAAAGCGTCATAGCGTCATAGCGCCATGGCGACTACTTACATAGCACGCGCTATGCGTTATAAAGAGATAGCGCGCTATAATATTGCGCTATGGGCTATATTAACCTCCATTAGCGCCAAAGCGCCATAGCGCAATAGCGCCATGGCGACTACTTACATAACACGCGCTATGTGTTATGAAGAAATAGCGCGCTATAATATAGCGCCCACCATTAACTATAACCTAAAATATAAACAAACTTAAATCTGTAATGACTGTGCTGCATCTGCAGGCGGCTGCAAACATGGAATTTGTTTTGCACACTGGATCATCAAAAGGACTGAAGAGCCATCAGTTACATCTGTCTCTTGCTACTGGCAGAAACCCAGACTCAATGAAGCCATCACCAGTGGTATGCCACTGCTAGCTTCAAACCTAGGAAAGAAGACTTTTGAAAAAAAAATCCACTCCACTATAACTTTGCATAACATATTAGAAGAATGTAAGAAAAGGAAATCAACTTCCTCACTTCTTGTTAAATTACTCTAAGTACAAAGAAGAATCTCTTGATGATTTCAGTGTATTTCATATTTTGTTAAATTATTATAAGCAGTTTAAAGATATAGGAGTATGTTTTGATAGTTTTAAGATTTACAGTGCAAATCTAGTTACAAATGAGTAAGTACATGGAATTGAACAGGCAACGAAAAACCAAGTGTATAGTGTTTTATGGCATTCTTTGAGACAGGGGAGAGTTACTGCCTCTAATATTTACAACACAATAAATTGCACAACTGCTAATGGTGTATTGGTCAAATCTATAATGGGTGGGTACAAAGTGCCAGAAACCCGAGCAATACAAAGGGGCAAACGTCTGGAGAACTTGGTAAAAAAAGAGGTAGAGGTTGAACTTGATGTGAAGATAAAGGACTGTGGCTTCGTGCTGGTATCTGGCATTATAGGGGCTTCACCAGATGGAATCACTGACAACTATGTTGTTGAAGTAAAATGTCCATCAAAGGAATCTTCAATAAAAAAACTATGTAAACGATAAAAACGAAACAATGGACAGATACAAAGCCCAGATAATGCTGCAAATGTATGCAGCAAACAAAGAAAAGGGACTTTTTTGTATTGCAGACCCAAAATTTGAACAAAATAAAAAAATGAACAAAGTTTGGGTACTTTATGACAAAGAATATACATTAAAATTAAGTGAAGAAGCTGAAAAATTTTGGCAACAGTTTATTTTTAACAATATTGTAGAATGTGTTAAGTTAGGTTAAATGTAAATATTTTGTTTTTATTGTGTTGTAAAATATGTTAATTAATTACTAATGAAGTACATGGAATAAACATTTTTGACTTTGACTATTATTATTATCCTACTAAAATCATTCATCTATTCTTCTATACTAATATCTTCTACTTCTTCTTCTTCTTTCTTTTGTGGCGGTTTGATAAAATTCGCCAATGACGTATTGAGTGGAAAATGAAAGCTTATGAGTTTAATTAGTTTTTTTTTTAAATTAATTTAATTAGCCAATCTTTAAAGGTGTTTTCTATAATTTCTTTTAATTTCAAATTTGCCATTGGAGAACCCTTTTCTATACCTAGATCTAGATGAATGTCAGGTTGGTAAATAATAGCCTCGTCAAGGACATCAAAGAGTGGATTTATTTTACATTTAACGATTGGGTAAGAAAAATTACAAAACTTTTAAACAAGCAGGGAGAGTCCTTATGGGTCCAGTATCGGTCAGATGAGATATACTCAGAAAGAAGATCCAATTTAGGAATTAGGGGATGATCTGAAAGCTGGCAGATCTTAAATAAGAATCTGTCTGAAAGGTATTGCCTTCTTTATCTTAAAGGAGAATCTACGCACTCAACATGAAGAACATTTATTGGTGAGGATTTCATTGGCCCTGTAAAAATGCGAAGGCATTTCGATTGAATTTTGTCCATTACTTTCAAGGATGATTTATTGCAAGGCTCCAACAGAAAACATCCATTGTCAAGGTGGCTTCGTATTAAAGCATTGTACAGTAATTTCTGAGAAAAAGGATGGGACCCCCACCAAACACCAGACAAAGACCGAAGAATATTTATGTTTTTTTTTGGCATTTTTGTGTTATATATTCAATGTATTGACTGAAGGCCAATTTCGAATCAAGGATAACTCCCAAAAATTTAACATTGCCTCTAACAGGAATAGGTTGCTTATCATATACAACAGATATATCGGGAACTCGCCTTTGGCGGGAAAAGATCACCACACTACTCTTGGCCACAGATAAAGAGAGGCCATGATTAGTTAACCATTCTTGTAAATACTCCGTGGATGATTTTAGACGGGAACATGCCACTGTGAAGTTGTTTAAGGAGATGTGTAGAGCTAAATCGTCTGCATATTGAAGAACATTACAAAAAGAATTTATTGAAAGTTCTAAATCGTGAGTATATATAGAATAAAGGAGAGGACTAAGAACTGAGCCTTATGGAAGTCCTTTCCGTATAGTTTTTGGGGGAAGCAGGAAATTTTTAACATTTATAGATATTGATCTAGAAAAGAGAAAGTTAGAGACGTAATTGACTATCCTCTGCTCAGATTAAGCATTTTCTGCCTGAGCACAGGAAGAAGCACATTATCATATGCAGAATTTTATATTTATATATGTTAATTAGTTCTACATTATCAAAGTTAATGGGTAAGGAAAAGGAATCATTGCGAACCCTTCCGGGATTGGGAGTTTCGTCCTCCATTATATTACTACAACAAAAAATTACATAAAAACGGCACAACTACAAACACTTACTAATTTACAGATGTTAAAACCTCCACCAAGACAGAAGAATTTACTATAGTAAATCAACAACACTTAATAAAACAATAAATTTTAAGCAAAAAAGGCACAACACTTGTATCTCTCACTTTCTCCTTCAAAAAAAATCCTATACTAATATTAATATTTTAAAGAGTTAAATGTTTCTAACCTTGTTTGATGTATGTTTGTTTGTAGGGGGTAATCTTTGAAAGTACTGATCCGATCATGAAAATTATTTTACCTACAGGAAGCTACATTATCTGTGGGTGCTATGGGCTATTATAGTTTTCCCAAAGTCCCAGGAAAGCATTTAGTCCTATATTTATTTCATAGTTAAAGTGAATGTCTTATTTTATAGTAACTGGTGACAAAGTTTTTCAAAAAATCCCCTAGATTTTTGTGAAATAATAAAAAAAATTCTTTTAAGAATAAGATTTTTTATTAGCTATAAAAATAACAGGTACACATTCATTTATAAAGAAATAACTTAATAATCAATATAATTAACCTTAAGTTAAAATATGTTTTGTGCTGTTCTTTCAATTTCACTTATTAAAGTGTTTTAGGGATAAAGCATATTTTAACGTAAGAGTTTATGAAAACAGAAAAGTTATCACAAGTAAGATGGAAAGTATTTATTGATTGTTAGCAAGTTGTCCCATTTTCAACTCGTCCCATTTGAGAAACTTGTCCTATTTGCAGCTAGTTCGTTCCGTTCGCAACTCCTCTTATCGCGACTCGCTTCATTCACATATCCCATCAACATAGAATAACCATTAAATCCTGAGAGATGTTTAACCTGTTTAAAATATTATCGAAATAAGTTCAGCTTTTTAAGCATATAAATGTCACAAACAGATAGTAAAATTGTGTGAATTCAAAATAATATTAATATGGATTTCAAAATAAAACACAATATGCGATAAGAATAGAATAGAAATAAATATAATAGAATAGAGATAGTCGACAGTAGTTCTTATATCATTTCAAAATCAACATAATTATCGTTTATATTCTAATAATCAATCAGAATAAATGTTCACCTAGTTTTTTAATGTTACCTTATAGGAAATAATAATAATGTTTTTTGTTACCTATTTAAACTTTACTAGTTGTAAAATTTTACCTTTTTTCAAAACATTATTATGAGATGAAAAATTATGCTGAATTAAAATACAAATTATAATTTTGTTAATTTTGAAATGAATAATTAGACGAATTATTGTTGATTATCTCTGTTGTGTTTTATTTTAAAATCCATATCAATGTTATTTTGAATTCATACAATTTGACTATCTGTTTGTGATGTGACATTATATGCCTAAACAGCTGAACTGATTTCGATAACAAAGAATTCAAACAGGCCACAGGATTTTATGTTCTATTTTGATGGGACGAGTCGCGAACAGGATGATTTGTAACCAGGACGAGTTACGAATTGGACAAGTTTCTCACAAAGGACGAGTTACGAATGTGACGACCTGCTAACGACCCTAAATTATGTACTAAAATCTAAAAAATAAGTTAGATAGGAAAAAAAGAACTAAAAATATTTAATTAAAATACTAAAAATAAGAATGGACTGTATTACAAGAAGTAAGCAAATTTAAAAGATACATGCGTAACACCTAGCGAGTAGTTTGACTAAGTGGAGGCTCGCTACGTTGTATCTTGTTCCAACATCAAATAACAGAAATCAAAATCAACAAAATGTTAAGTTAAAATCAAATTATTTATTTTTAAGTAGGAATTTTACAAGACTCTCTTTTAGAAAGTCAAAACTAATTAATAAAATGGTGTAGTTAACTAACAAAAATGTAAACAAATACGTGTCAAAATTAAAAGACTACCAATTATTTCTTTCATTGAGTTGGAGTAACAGTCCTTACCGACCAGCAGTCTTTGTCGTTAATATAATCATCTGTCTTGTAACATAATAACAATGTAAATCAATTGTTAAAATTCTTTTTTATGGGTGATTGCAGGTTTATCAGCCCACAAGCCACAACAACTGTATCATCCATACAGTTGACCAATTTATTATTTATAGTTGAATGAGGCTTCAAAAACTTGTACAATCTCACTCTTCGTATCACTCTTTCTATATGTATTCACAGGTTAGCTATCACTTTGGATTCAATAGCCTCCATTTTGGTCATCTTTTTATTAGCTGATACAGAAGGTGGACGAAGTAACTTTACAGTTTTTTTTTGTAAAATACTTTCAAGATGTTTGAAACCTCTATCAGCTAAAACAACTGAGTTTGGCTTAACAATGTCAAGGAAACCACTTTCCTCTACTAATTTAACATCTGTGATTCTCCCAGCGTATCCTTTAGATATAAAGGTTATGAAACCATCAGGAGTGGCACTTATTAAATATTTTATGGTGTTGCAGTTTTTGTACTGCGACCATGTAGCTGATTGTTCTACAGGTTTATTTGGTTCTATTTCTATCTCAAAACAATATATAATGCTCTG